GGAAACAAAGCAGGAATGAGAAGAAGAGAGAGGAGCAGGAAATTCAACCCATCTCTTCAAGATCAATTATTATAAGCACTCTGAGATCTTTAGGAAAAACAAGTTAGACACATTAGATTTGAAGTTGAAGATGCCATCGTACACATACTTCAACATTTAGTCATTTAGATGAGGCAGACAGCACTATGAGAATAATGTTCTTTGATTTCTCCAGGGTGTTTTGCAAACAACTCAGCCTTACTTACGCTGTCAGAAATGCCCTAAGATGGAAGTGGAGGCATCGATAACTGGTAATACTGATCAGCTACTACCTGACTAATAAACCACAGTTTGTAAGGCTGAAAGATCAACTGTCTAATCAAGTAGTTGGCAGCATAGGAGCAGTTTAGGGGACTGTACCTTCACCATTCCTCTTTACTTTGTACACATCTGACTTCGTCATCCTCATCCGGTCCTGAATGTGGAAAAACCAAGAGAGATAATTTTAGAAACCATAACAAATGGAATCCTATTACCATAATAAGAGGAGAAGTGAAGGTGGTGGAGGAGTAAAAATTCTTTAGTGTTCAGCTGGAAAACAACCTCAACTTGAAATACAATTTCCAACTCATCTACAAAAAGGGACAATTACAACTGTACTCCTTTAGAAGCTAATTAAGAAGGTCATTCAGTGTTTGCAGCAAGGTGTTGCACATCTTCTATAAATCAGCTTTGGAGAGTGTGATCTCTTCCTCTATCATCCACAAGAGTTACAGCATCAGAGCAAAGGACCTAAAAAAGCTCAACAAGCTCATACAGTAAAGTAGGGCAGCTCCTTCAAGAAACTACTAATTGCAGTTGAGGACTCGTTACACAACAATAGTACTGTTCTCCATCTTTCAGAAAATTAAAAAAAATAAGGACAACAATGAGCATCCTTGTCAGAAGACCATTAAATGAGTATCTACAGGGAAACGTTCATCCAGATTCAGTGCAACAAAGACGTTCACAATAGATCCTTCCTGTCAGTTATTAAGATATATAACTCTTCAAAAAACCCTATTAGTAACAACAGCATTTAAATTCCCTTTGGCATAAATAAAGCAGAGTGAATTAAATAAGCCAAATTGAATTGGATTTAATTAAATTATGGGTTAAATAGCTTTATTCACACTCAGTCCTAAATACTCCACATGCAATACACAAAAATAAAGTTTGCTTAAGGCCAAGAATTTTGGTTTTATAATTGGGACTGATCAAATGTGTGTTAGATGTGTGTTGTATTTTCTGTTTTTGCATTTCTGTATAGAACGTTTTATTTAATCTATAATCAGTAAAATTATTTTCATTTTGAAAATATGTTTTTCTGTTTCAGGGAAATTTTAATTTGTTCAGATTCCGGAAAAGGTTATGAAATACTCCTCTTTTTATATTTCAGGATTTATTTTAGTCTTGGATTGTGTTAAATAGGAAAAAAAAAATATTAACCTATAACAGCCCCAGAACTAAAACATGCAGCGACTACAAACCATTTAATCTAAGGTATTATGATTTACATTTTGTTGCCTTAACATTTCAAATATTTATCTTTGGATCTTTGTGTATAAAAACAGAAC